GCTATAGTTACATTAAGGAATTTACATTAGTAGACCATCTAGCAATTAATACATCATACATATCTGTGGAATTTTCAAGTGGGCTATCTGTTTTTAAGCTTGCCTTTTGTCCATCTTACTGTTCCTCTCTCAGCAATTAATTCAGTGACTGTAGAGGGTAGACTGGCCTCCTTTCAACAGGTGTGCATGAGTGGCAGAGTCTACATCCTCCCCCTAAGGACTCTGTGCTGTGACAAGTGGGGAGTCTGTGGGTCAGATGCTGGGAGAAAGTTGAATATTCTTTTCCTGTCACGCTCCTGCCTTGCTGAGGTTGGAGCAAACAGTGGGAAAGAAGGAATCCAGATAGACTGTGGCATATTAATGCTGTTGAGGATTGGATTGGCCAAAAGGTTGGGCTTTGTCAGGGACAAGCTTCATTCTAGTCAGGATCTCCTTCCAGACTCTTCTGTTGTCACCTTATCAGCACACTCCTCAAGATGCATTCTTCCTTTTTCAGAGCCCCAAGTCCCATCTTGTCCCCAGAAATCCCATTGAAAGGGAATAAAATGTACCTTTCTCAGCTGTTCTGGCCTTGCCCTCCCTCCCCTGCATCTCTGGTGACTGCTTGTTACCCCAGATTTGGTGCAATATGTAGCAAGAGTTTGGGTCTACAGGTCTAAGTAAGCATGTGCTGCCTGCTGCATCTTCATTCCTCCTTCCCCTGGTTAACTTTTTGGCCTCTGGCATGACCTGGAACAGAGGCTAATTGATGCTCTCCCCTTTTCCACTCCAGTGAACAGATTTTTAAAAACTCTCAGCCCCCATTCAGGTATCTAAATGAAGCAGGCAGAGATTCAAAATTTCTCAGCACCCAGCAGCTCCCATGGAGAACAAGAGAGCAATGGGAGCTGCTGGGTACTGAGTGCTTCCAAAAATCTTGGTCCCTAGTTCCTTCTGGCTTCCCTGTGAAACATATTTCATCCATGGTTCTGCTAGTGCCACCAGTGGATATATCACCACCCAGTTGGCTGTGAAGTGGTGGGCCGCTGCACCCCAGACCATGCTATCTGCCTCTGCCGCCGGTCATAATGCCACAGTCTACCTAGGTACCAGTAGTGGATCAGCACATCTAACTTTTGAATGACCCTGGCACTTCCCTAGGTTCAGGACCCAGCCCTGGACTAATCCAGGCCTGATGGACTGCCTAAAAAGAGAATGGTGTTTTATATCAATATAAGTACAGGCCAAGTAACTGAGTTAAGGGGACAATAGTTCAGTCAGAGGAACTTTAGAAAAGTAAGTGGTCTCATGACATTTGTAAACTTGAGAGGTTTAAAGGCCTAAAACCTGGAATAACCTTACCTGCCTCATGGTTGTTGCCAACCCATTACACCTGGATATGTCAATTCAGAGTTTGTAAGCTGTGCCATTTGAAGGTCTTAGCTTGTTAGGGTAGTGAATCAAGTGACAATTTGTGGACAGGGCTATGGCTCAGAATTGTTAGGCCTCTGAAAATTGGCATGCATTGCTGTTGTGGAAGTCCCTTCAAACTCTGCATCCAAATGAAAGAATAATGGTACATTCTACCAGCTCAGCCCCAGCGCTGGTGTAAGGCTATTCTCCAATCACTTCATCCTCCCCCTTGTTATAGGGAAAACTCCATGGTCGAAACACAGCTCTTCTCTTGTCAAATGCAGCTGTGCAGTATCACCACCAGGCAATAGGCAATGTTTCATAATATTGCTGAATTTTATTCTCACTCTGCATGGTGTGATCATTGTGTTTATCTCGTGGGACTACTTATATATGATCTTACCAGCGCCCTTTCTGCTCACAGGGCAATGTTCTGGGTACATCAGCTTGATTCAGAATAGCACTACTATTGGTTTTTGAAAATGGTGCTTTTATTTTAGAAGTGCAGGCAGGTCTTTTACTGAAGCACAGATTTCTGGTCCTATTAATATGTTCACATGCTGTGAGGTTGATTAACAGTGGGGTGCCAGATTCTGCCACAGGCCAACACTTCACTAGAACTTTTTCACTGTGTTCTAGTGATGGAAAACTAATCAGTTCCTTGACAGTTTGACTTATTAGCATATATGTTTATTAATTTGCAGCTTAAGCAGAAGTCATGCTGAAAACACATACTTGATCATATACATGCAGCTCCACTACCAGAATTTAATAAAATATTAACTGCATATCAATATTGTATCAGCTCAATACATTAATATCTTATTGCCCTTATATAAATCCATGGTATGCCCACATCTTGAATACTGCGTACAGATGTGGTCTCCTCATCTCAAAAAAGTTATACTGGCGTTAGAAAAGGTTCAGAGGAGGGCAACTAAAATGATTAGGGGTTTGGAAAGGTCCCATATGAGGAGAGATTAAAGAGGCTAGGACTTTTCAGCTTGCAAAAGAGGAGACTAAGGGAGGATATGATAGAGGTATATAAAATCATAAGTTGTGTGGAGAAAGTGAATAAGGAAAAGTTATTTACTTGTTCCCATAATATAAGAACTAGGAGCCACCAAATGAAATTAATGGGCAGCAGGTTTAAAATAAATAAAAGGAAGTTCTTCTTCACACAGCGCACAGTCAACCTGTGGAACTCCTTGCCTGAGGAGGTTGTGAAGGCTAGGACTATAACAGGATTTAAAAGAGAACTAGATAAATTCATGGAGGTTAAGTCCATTAATGGCTATTAGCCAGGATGGGTAAGAAATGGGTGTCCCTAGCCTCTGTTTGTCAGAGGGTGGAGATGGATGGTAGGAGAGAGATCACTTGATCATTACCTGTTAGGTTCACTCCCTCTGGGGCACCCGGCATTGGCCACTGTCAGTAGACAGGATACTGGGCTGGATGGACCTTTGGTCTGACCCAGTACGGCCATACTTATGTTCTTACTTAAAATTGTCTTTGCCATAGAGTATTTTTTGTCTTTGCTTTTATTTACTAAAGTATTA